TATTTTTGTATAGGTGAAGAAGACATTATTTGGCAGAATGAATCCTTTTCCACAAAAAAAGATTATTACATTTAATAAACACACGAATAATTTCGATTTTCATGTAAATTATGCTGAGTTAGATTATTTGCCTGCTAGTGAGGTAATGTAAGTATCTATAGCTATTATTATTTATTTGTAGTACTAGGAACGAGTTAACACAGAAAATAGATTAATGCTATTTTAAATATCAAAATGTTCATACTTCTAAAACTATAGAGATTTAATTTTTTACAGTTCTATTGGTAATTTACATTTATCTACTATATCGCTGAGTGGTGTAGCCGAAGCTTTAGAAAAGCATGCCAACGAAGGCGCCGAGAGTAAAGGAATCAAAGTGCACTTTAATATAGACGATAGCGGCGTATTGAATTTATTGACTGTAGAATTAGTTTCCGAAAAATCGAGTACTGTTGATGAAGAAGAGGGTACTTTCTCAATACTTGGCTCAACTATTAGTAAATTCTTTGCAGGTTTGTGCCGAAGGCAATGCAAAAAATGATACCATTTGTTTTTGTTGCATGTTACGAATCACAATTTTGATTGATATTTGCACTATACTAGTTCTTCTTTATATTCTGTTAGTATATATTGAAGAACTGTTTTATTTCTCAAGGAAAAACTTGTGTTATTTTTATAACTTTATAAAAATTAAAAAGTTATTTCATGTTACGTTTTGAAATCATTTTTTGCAAGCATTTTTGTATCAAGGAATAAGTAGATGCTTTAAAAAAAAGATAGTATTATCACTGAGCAGGGCTTAGATTTTATTATCGTTAACAATTAAACTTTTGTAGCAATATAAATTCTAAAAAAAATTTATACATTAATAGAATAATTTATGTTAATAGAATGATTCCTGTTGTATTAACGGTAATATTTTATATTCATAGAATATTTGTGTCAATTATTTCGTTATATAAGGTGAAATTTTGAAGACAATTGTGCTTAAGTTTACACAATTAGTTGTTAACGATATAAAACTCTAGACTCTGATTGTAAATTATGCAAATATACACACATTAAATGAAGTCTTAATCTTTCAGGATCTTCTTTAGAAAAAGAAACGGTGGAAAAGACAGAGGAACCGCCAAAGGAGGATATAAAACCAGTGCATGAAGAACCAGAATTTTCGGAATCGACAAAAGAGACAGACGAGAAGGAGAAAAAGAAAAGTGAAACAAAAGTGAACGAAGAGAAGACTGCAAATAAAACCGAGAAGGCGGACAAAGAGAAGAAGGCTACGATCGTTCAAATTAAAGAACCTATCAGTTCGAAAGAGGTCAAATTAGGATCACAAATTTTGTCCGATGAAAAACTCACAGAAACTCGAGACAAGTGAGCATAAATATTATATATTTATTTGCAATGTGAAGTAATTAAGAAATTATTTTCATCTTTAATATTCTGCTAATTTAAATTTATTAAATAAAACTGTTACTATAACTTTAACTTTTTATTGCCATTTTCTCTTTTCTCTTAACAAGAAAATATAATCTGCATAATTATGATAAATATAATTTCTATTATTTTACTAACATTTTATTTATTTTTCTTTTTTAGGATACATCGTTTGGACGTGCACGATTCAGAGAAAGCACGTCGTGAGACTGCGTTGAACAACCTCGAGTCATACGTAATCGACGCGCAGCAGAAGTTTGATTCCAAGGAATTTTCGGACGCGGCTACCGATAAGGAGATCGAGGAGATTCGAAAAGCGTGCACCGAGATCTCTGAGTGGTTGTACGAGGACGGATTCACCGCGACGGCGGAAGTGTACGAAGAGAAGTTGATGGAACTCCAAAAGTTAACCAACGACGTTTATGAAAGGGTCTCCGAGTATCGAGATCGGCCGGAGGTCTTAAACGGAATGGTTTCGCTACTCAAAGGCAGTAGATTGTTTCTAGAGAATATGCGCAATTTGAGTCTAACGAGTGAAGTCATTACGTCTGTTGAAATCGAGACGTTAGAAAAAGCAATCAATGAGACACAGGTAATGATTTATTTTTTAATATCTAAAGCGATTTTTTAAATAGAAACATGCTATTATTATAAGTATAATATTAATGTAATAAAAAAAATGATATTTTAGGATTATTATGATATGGTTTCAAAATATTTCGCGGATGCGCCGCTAAATATACCAGTAAAATACAAGATCCGCCAAATCGTGAATAAAATGGATCTACTCGATAGAGAAATTAAATACCTTCTAAACAAGGTAAAAATTTGGAAACCGAAACAAGAAACTACAGCAAATCAAACAACAGATAGTAAGGCCGAGCGCACGATAGAAGAAAATAATGAATCTTCAACCGATTCTAATACTAAAAATGATAAATCTGCGGAAGAACAACCGTCCGACAATATAGAAGACCAGCAACAAGAACCAATATCAGAAACAACGGATACCACACAGGATCCGTTACAGCTACCAGAAAGCGAGAAACCATTAACTAAAGAGGAAGTTCAGAAAGAAACGCATCATGAACTATAAGAAATAATTTATTTAAAAGTATGATTCTCTGTTGTTGATCGACGATAATCGTCGATTTAGGCAATTTTTCTGTAGATTATTTTCGTCAGATGCATTTAAGATCGAAGCGGGAATTCTCTTATGCGTTGCCGATGTATAAGTTATTCTGCGAATGTGAATATAAGCTGTTCCATTTAATTAATAATATGTATCTATTTATACAAGGATATGGTTTTCACCGTTCATTCATTACGTAATTAGTTTTGCAAAATTGTCAATCTTATCAAAGATAATTGTGTTACACAAGTGCCAAGTGATAGCAGCTCGTAACAATTTATTTATTTGATACGCTGACACGCATAAAACTGGCCAGTGTGAGATTTATCTTAAATTTTTACAATATAAATTTGTGACTTTGCATGTAAAATGCTTCTGCTGCAAGCATATGTTTAAATTAGTATACTATCATATGAAGTTGCAATATAAAGCATACTATTGTAAAAACACAAATGATAAGAACGTGCATAAAATAATTTTCGTTCATAAAACAATTCTTGCATATCTTTCAGAAAAAAACGGATCTTTATTCTTTCGGGGAATGTAGTTACGAATCTTACATTCTCGCAAATGTATATGTATATCAATAGTTTTCGAATGAATTTGTCACATTTCCTATATATAATGCATTGATTTGTATCATCTTTTTTATAAACAAAGATTCACATAAGTCTATTTTTTCATTATTTATCGATATCATATTAAACAGGTATGACTTTTCTAATAATCTATTTCTTGAAAAAGTGAGATAGAATGTATAGAATATTGATTATTTTGTAAGTGAATATAACGATTTATACGATGTAAGATAGATAAAAAAAATAACCTGTTCCTTGAAAATTATATAAGATAAAATTGTTTCTTTGGCTACACAATTTAAATTAATTCTTTGAAAATCACATAACATAATATTCTATTGCCAAATTATAGGGCATTTCAATTAAAGAAATTGTCATTCCAATTTATAATTGTAAATTTAAATATTATTCATATTTATTAATTTGAACTAATAAAAAAATATACAAAAGAGAGAAGGGGGGAGGAAAGATATTGGAATAAAGAAACAAACTGTATTGTGTGTGTTACCATTATTTTTTTATAAGTATTTATGACAAAATTATTGAAAAATTTAGTTTTCCGCGAATAAAAAAATTAAATATTACAATCACAGACCTTCATCCTTTCTTCCAGTTTTCTTAATCGGTTGAATTTCTATTACTTTAATTTCTCCTGTCTAATTTTTCTTTATCAGCTGACTTTTACTAGTGAGGTTATGTACACATTATCGTCTGCCTTTTTCACTCGCGCTTTTTGAATTTCTCTTTCTAAACATTAAAAATCAAAACGTGCTTTTATTTATGTAAAAAATATCTGGGTGAAGACTTTAAAGGGAAATTAAGAATAGAAAAGCTGCCAGAAATTGTTGACCCTATCAATTAAAAAAAAAAACCGTGGTTAGACGTTACATTAACCCCTGGAGTTGATGGTGAGTCTATTAGTCTATATTGAACTCACTATAAACTTCTAATTATAAATCTCTATAAAAAATATCTTTTTTACGTTACATTTGAAAATTTGAATTATTCCTATTAAAATATACTTAATATTTTTTTGCTTTTATATGAGTTATTTTTATTCCTTGAAATTAATATCTTTTAATTAATATAAATCAAACAGCATCAGTAATTGTGTTATAAATTTTAGTATCAGCTCCAGAGAATTAATTATATTGTTAAAGTATGGCAATGCGTCAAATTTTCACAAAATTATGGAAAAATATTAGTCCTGTAATGGTGAGAATACAATTCATGCGATATTTTAATTTCTATTTTTAATTACATTAAAAGAAACTCATAATTTATTTGTAGTATACATCAGGTATATTATTTGCACATTGTACCTCATTCGACAAGCCTAGTGAAAATAAGAAGTTGAAACTAGACCCTCCAGACATAAAAAAACTAACTCATGAGTGTATGATAAAACAATCTGCGTTGGATGCTGCTAATAGTGCAACCCAGGCATTAACTGTCACATATATGGCTATAATAGATCTGAGCGTCGCATACAGGTAACAAAATAATAATATAGGTCTAGAGGAAAGTAAGATATCTCTGTGATAATGTTTATCATAATAATTTTGTAGAATATTGTTGAACGAACTCATTTCTCTTCTCGAAGAAACTATAATACACAACGTAAATGATGCACACTGGGATATGATTGTGGAAGTACGAAATGAAATGCAAGACAAAAAAGAAAAGCTTACGGTAATAAAGAACTGCTTGAGATACTACAATTTTTACTTGATGTAAAATTTTATATATTAAATATCACAGTCCGAGTAAAGTCAAAAAATTCTTTTATACAAGAAAATATAAATAACATTGCATTATAGACACATATTGTACCATACAAATTTTTTAAAATTATACAAGTTAAATGCAATTTCTTTTTCAATTAGCGCTTGGTTATCTATATGGATTATGTGCATAAAATGGCAGTAGCTAGCGCAGAATTAAGTTATATGTGCGAGATGGATAGTTTGACCAGTACACTTCAACAGAGGATAGAGGATGCGTTAAGTAAGGTAAAAATGGAAACTGACAGCAATACAGAATTGGAACGAACATACTGGCGTATACAAGAACAGTGCATCAAAGGTAGCAAAGAAAATATCAAGAAACAATAAATTTTTTAGGAAAGAGTCCAACATTCTCTCTCAAAATATGTTTTATTTGTTTCTTAAAAAAATTAAAAATAATTATGTATCTATATTAATAAACAATTTTCCTCACATTTACTAATGTTTTGTACATCATTAATATCAATCTTCTTTAATTATTTTCTTTTTCCTTTACTTTTTTATTAAATATATACTAGTCTATTGTATTAAAGTTGTATGAGATATTAAAGATTATTTTATTCTTAAATATATTTCTCTTATGATCTAGATTTCATAACATCTTTATTATAAAAATATAATTCGAATAAAGCATGTTTCACTAATCTCTTTAATTTAGTCATGTATTCAAGAATTGTATGACTTTTTCATTACATTTATATTTTCGAATTTGCTTTAATAAAATCAATAAGATGTAATAAATATGTTCGATATAAGTGGCAGATGTATAAACATATATCATTAACAGCAAAATTTATACCTTTCGTTTTTTGTAAACCTATTCATATCATAAAAATCAAGTTTTCGAAATATCAAGACATATATATACATATGAAAATAACTCACATAATTCAACACACAGTACACACGTCAATATAATAAATAAACATAGGAAGAGAATATTTACAGACTTGCAAGAACAGCGCTGCTTTAAACATCTAAATGAATCGAGACAATATGTCGACCGGGCACCATCACCAAGCCTAAGACTCTCGCTTCCGTATGCTCCGTAGACAAATATTCGGTACACGAGCCTAAAATAACATTGGCATCACGATCCGTACATAAGAACGCTCCTCTCAACACCCTTCCATCAGTCATTTCAATACGTAGATGTCGATTCAACCAGCTCCTTAACTTCTGCTTGGCTGACGACTCCTCAGAGATAACTGCCTGCTAGAATCATAAAATAAAGCATTAAGAATATAACAAATACTTCTAGAAAAACTTTATTCTTTAGAAACTTTAACTCTTTATGTAATTATGATTGTAAGATTACTTGACAAGTTTTATGCAGAATACTTGTATTTAAAAAAGATACATGCATTTATACAAGTAAATCTGTTTTAAGTACAATCTTAAGATGTTATAAGTTAATTATAGAACTATATTAAGTATATTAAAACATTATTTTAAGATGACATTAAAATAAAAACCAACTATGAATACTAACGTATCAATACTAACGTATTTCCAATAAGAGATTCAATATAACATAATGTAACATGGTGATTATTTAATCTCTGTTTAATATTGGCAAATAATCGGGATGAAATAATTCACTGTCTAATATCGTTATCTGTTTCTCTTGAAGGAAATTATCCTATGTATGAAAACTCATTTCATTAGAATCCTATCTAATCCTATAATTATTGCAAAGTCCTTCAAATTATTGTCATTAAAATAAACTTAGTATTCATTCTTTTTTATGAGTTATGTTATTTTGGTTCCTTGAAATTAATTAACATATTTTTAATCAAATAGCTAATGGGTTTCACAGATACAATATTAGTAACTATAATGTTAGAGATTTGTCAGGTCCGGAGAATTAAATGATAGAAAATGAAGAGAATAATATATATCAATTGAATCAGGTTTCAGTTTGTGGAACATAACCTATGCGCACCATAAAAATTGATAAAAATCCGAAGTAATTCTCATGAGAAAGACATTATACGGTTTTTTTGCAAAGTAATAGAAAATACTGTGAAAAGTCAAAAAGATGAATAAAGGGAGAAAAACCATCGTTTATTATAAAGTTACCTCTTCATTCCCGTGAACATGCTCGTTGTTCACAACATTGCTCAAATTATGCACTGTCTCCTTCATACTCGCACTCATTGCACTCTCGTTATTTATTCTCATTCACGAATAACAGGATGAATTTCAGACGAACCGTTGTACCGCACTCCGCACTTCGATACCGTGATTTATTGTGATTTGTGACTAGCTCATGACTAAGTACACAGTACGGTTCAAATTTGTTTTTGATTTCTTTACTGAGATCATAGTGGAAGACAGGTGAGACAACTTGAGGAATGCGCAGTAGGACCAAAATTACGGCAGTAATTAGAATATCATTAGGGTGAATCCTCATAGAGAAGGAAAAGATGGAATAGAACAGTATAAACGGGAAGAAAATATCCTTAGGCCAATTAAAATTAAAAAAGAAGGAAAGGAAACATAGCAGCATGAAAAGACATCTTATTTAGCAATCCAATGTGATTGTTTCTTATTTTTTAAATTTAATTTAACACATTCAATTACTACTTTATTCGCTCAGTGAACGATTAGTGTACCGAGTACACTTATTGAAGTCTAATTATCTATCGGATCTCAAACAATAACTTGTCAATAACTGCCTCTCTCCTTTACAAAAAAGAAACTCCGCTGCCACGTCTGTCCTAGCATGACCTCGCTATGATAAATTTAGGAACGCACTTGGCACAATCACCTGTACATATCTGCGGCAGTGACAGCAGAACCGGTGCATTTCTCAACATTTTGCTACGTGTCATGTACGCAAATCTGATTTGCACCAGGAACTGACAAGCGTGGATTTATCTCCCCGTGTTCCTTTCTCACGTCCAGTCGCCTCGTGCGTTTTCAAAGGTAGTGGCATCTCGGCGATCTTAGCGATTTTAAATTGAGACTTCTAGAAAGTTCGTGTGAACAAAAGTTCTTGAATCGACGAACGCTTTGAAACATATGCGTGACGAATACGATTACACTCTGCGATTGTATCACGTCGATTAAAGCCTGTTAATGTTTTTGTCAGAATATAAAAAATATTCAAAAATCGCTATGACCTTTTAAAAAATTTAATTGTCACTCTTTTCAGCAATTTAACGCTATTCATACATATCTTTTCAATATATCATTGGATATGACTTTTTTTTATTTGAAAAAAACAGATGAACACTTGTCTTAATACAATCGAGTAGACGAATGAATGTTTGTCTTAATACAGTTGTGTTAATTTGCAGCTGTAAAATATGCGGCAATTAAAGGGGAAAACGAAAGAGACGAATAAACAGAAGAAAGAACGGAAAAAGGAGTTCCTTGAGAACAAGCAGAGAGTGTTCACGGTTGTGTTGCCTACCATAGCTGCGATATTTGTGATAATAGCGGCATATATCTACGTTAAAACCCGTCCAAAACTCATGGAGTACTAATTATTATACCATTTGTCATCCATTCATTCAGATGAAATGACTGTGCTGTATCTCGACAATGCATAGACAATTCCATGTTGTATTCTCATGATTCATATGAAAGTTTTTCTAAATGGAGGACATTCCATTGTTCTCCCCAGAAACATTTCATACCCAAATCATATACTAGAAACAAGATACCGTTTTTGCAAATGTCTGTATTGTTTAATTTGATAAGAAAATATTTTTTAAATCAAGAATTATCTAATATATATAATTATCTAAGATATATAATTATCAAATATATAAAACTTAGGAGTCAATGTTTTTTACAAAAAAACATTACTGCATGAGAGAAGTTCGTTAATTATATTTGCCTTTCTAATAAACGATTAAATTTGTTTATACATCGAATAATGTACATAAATTTACCTTAATTTGAGTCTTCCTCGATTCTTTTTTTTTCGTGTTTCTATTTAATGTGTTCTTAAGATATCGTAGAACTATATAAATACAGAATTTTGTTCATGTAATATTCTGACGTTCATTTTTTTACTGTATTAAGTGTCACATGCGAAAAGTCCATATCTGTAAAACAAATTTTATTAATTAATTAAATTAAATTGAAAATGTTAGCATGTAAAACATTCAAATAATAAATATGGGTCCAATGCGATATAAAAATATATTTGTTATACATAAATAGTGTTATGTGTGTTGTCTCTTCTCGCCTTCTTGCCAAATGTTTTGTCGACTTTAAACTTAATTTAATATGTATTATACGTAATTATAACTAATATCATTGGATTCCTTTCATAAAGTATAAAAAATGATATCGATTTTATTTTTTGCGAGCACAACAAACAGTTTCTTTTTGTAACATCATTGATTATAAAATTAATTACATTTTAAATATTTTATTTAATTCGAACTGAAAATACAATTAATGCCACTATTAAATATAATACAAAAATCTTCCATTATTTAGTCTAAAAATATTGTAAATCGTTTAAAAAAAGATCGAAAACGATTTATATTATTTAAACTTTACAAAAATTCATTTTAATGTATGAATTTATAATATAAATATCAATCATAATATCAAAAATATGGAAGAGGAATTTAGAAAAGATTGGTGAAAGATTCTTGATTTTTTTTAGCAATAATACCCTGCGAGGTTTAAAGGGGCCTTTTTATTTAAATTTGAATTATTAAACAATTTACGTTGTTTCAAACTTGGGTAAACAAAGTAGAAAGACGAGCATCGCGCTAGTATCGGGAATCGGGACGCAGACGTCGCGGACACGTGGATGATAACCAATAGGGAGACAACACGTATTCACGCCCCTATGTATTATCGCCGGTGACGGTTTCTTGCTTGATTCTATTGTTAATTACTACCGAGAGCACCGATCCATAATGGATTACACGGTGCCTCTACTTTTTTCAAGCTTCGTAATAGTCTTACTTCACATAAATTATATTCAAGGTATTCTTTGCATTTATTTCATAGAAATACGATTGCATATAAATGTAGATCAATAGGTTATGTTATTTCCATCACTGAAATGTCATTTCGTATTATATCAATATGTATATTTCTTGCTTGATTTTATTTGTGTTGATTGATCATATTCGCATTATAATTAACGCCAAGGACATTTTCAATTGCATATAAATGTTTTTATAGTATAATTGGTATACTTCAGTATCTTAATGTAAGTGGAACGGAACATTGTGTATGTAATCTTTATCTGTATATCTCAATTTGATACATTTTACAGCTAAAGGGACCCAACATGTAACATGCGGCTCTGTACTAAAGTTAATGAATGTAGATTATAATGTAAGGTTACATTCCCACGAAGTAAAGTATGGTAGTGGCAGTGGACAACAATCTGTAACAGGTACTAATGCCAAAGAAGATGGCAATTCCTACTGGCTTGTCAAAGCTGAATCAGGAAAGCAGTGTTTGCGAGGGTGAGCTATGATTTATATTCATGTATTGATTACTACAATTTTTACCTGTGCATAGACATATTGTGATCTTTTCAATAGGAGGCCAATTAAATGTGGAGATATTATCAGATTGGAACACGTTGTGACAAAAAAGAATCTTCACTCGCATCTTGTTAGCTCACCCCTAACTGGAAAACAGGAGGTCTCCGCTTATGGGGATAACAAGGGAGAAGGTGATACTGGCGATAATTGGATGTTAATATGCCACACTGATTTTTGGGAAAGAGATGATACAATTATGTTGAAGCACATTGATACTGAAAAGTAAATATACTCTTCTCTATGGATTTTCGGTATAGATAAAAGATAGTATCGTTTAGATATTTAAATAATGTATTTAGGTACTTGGCTGTTAGTGGCAGAACTTATGGTACTCCAATTAGTGGCCAGACTGAAGTAGTAGGCGAATATTCTTCAAGCAGTCCTCATACACAATGGTCTGTGATGGAAGGATTGTTTATTCATCCTAATGATTTCAAAGCACAGCATTATCAACATACAGAATTATAAGACAATTTTTATAACAGTAATTTAATTTAATCTGCAAGAATATGTATATATGTGTTGCAAAGAATGCGTGAATAAATTTGGAGAAAGTGCATCATTATCAAAATAAATATCATTAAATGACGTTTATTTCTTAAGCTCAATATATTTGTTATAAAACTGCGCTTTCAAGATTTTCAGGATTAAGAAAAAATTTACAGAATCAGTTGCTTAAAGTTTGTGAATACAATTGTTTGGTTTGAAATTTAATGTAATATTCTCAGTTATATTATTACATTTTGCACTATCATTGTATTTAAAATATTTATATTTGTAGTAAAAAAAAATCATATGAATTAAATAAGTAATTAAATAAATTAAAATCACATAGTATACCAAATAATTCAGAAAGATAACTATATTATTACTGTTGAGCATACATGTAAGCAAATCGCATCGAATATAAAACATCCGAAAATAATTATTACCGAAACAAAATAAATACAAACATGTTTTATGTAGAATATCTATTTACACATATTAATTTAGCCTCAACAAATATTAATTTCTGAATTAATCATATAAGAAATACGCAAATTATTTATTACACGATCTGAATTTACGCATTACAGGAATACTTCCGCTACTCATGTATGAAAAGTGGTACGCAAAAACTGTTAAGGAAGGATATCTATCTATAGATTTCATTAATATCCTAGAATATTTGATAATTATAAAATGCGCTCATATCTGTGTTCTCTGTCATTAATGCATAAGTATATTGTACATATGACTGTATTTATTGCTACGTAAGTACATAATAAAGAAATATGTGTGTTAGATTTAATTAGGATTCATTGTTTACTTGACTAGTCTCATACTTCCTTTAGTTCATACTTGCCATTGATATCTCGCGTGCCTACGAGACCGTTATATGGAAAGATAATATTCGATAGACCGTAACTTCCAAAGATCTCCTTCAGATTTTGTTTTCCTGTTACATTAACGTAACGTTGTTTGCCGGTTAAACAACTGTGCAACTTCCATATACCGAATACCAAACAGATACACAAGATCGACATCAGTGTATCAAATATTGTGACTAAAAGTATACTCGAACTATCTTTAGAACGCAGCAGTCTCGCTAAGGCAATAGGGAAACCAAAGTTCAGAAATATATTGAAATAATCTGCGTCGCTCTTCACTATATGATTAATGTTCTCATACATATATGGACCCAGTACGCACAGGGAGTATAAGCATGTTAGCGAGGTATAGAAACAAAATAGGATAAAATTGCCCATGTTCTGGCGAAGTATGCAGGCACCCAGGAAGAAGCAATGATGATCCTTGAAGTGAAAGCACTTCTTACAGAAGACGCAGTGCTGTGTCGGTTTGCACATGTAACTTTGACACTTCTCGCAGTGCCAGAATTTGTAGGTCGTGTTATGAGTTGGTAATTGCATACTGTTGATCTGTTCGACCTTACGCTGTTGAGTGATCACGCTGCACAAGTTATTCTGTATCTCCTTGACCTTCATCGGATTCGACTTACAGCTGATGCTGTACACCGAATACCAGTTGAGATATACTTGCATGCAGAGGAAGACGAAGACCGGCGAGACTTTCTCATTGATGTAAATCGTAATTGCAATGACAAATACAGTAGACATCAACGTCACTAATGGACATAATTGTTTAACAATTTTTAGGCAAGTTTTCATATACTGGGGCCGAGGCATACCTCATCGATAAATATAGTCTCTTTACATCTATAATGTATAAAACCAATTTTTGCAGACGTATATGTAAAATCAATTTTCAGACACCTATTCGAGCATGAATCTCTTTATTTTATACAATTTCTTTTGGTATTTATATTTCTGAAAAGGTAATAAGTTTATTAGATAAATATTTTTAACGATATAATTAGTTCTTATTTTGATTTTATGTTAAGAAGAAATACTTCTTCTTTCTTTTAATATAAAAATACAATTTGACATTGTTAAAAATCATCAACAATGTGTTATTAATTTTCGGTATATAGAATCGTTCACTGACCTCAACCATAACCTCAAATTTATTCCCATACGTTTCATTTAATTCAATTTTATTTAATTCAACAGGTCGTAGCTATTTTTCGAAATAAACACGATTCTTTATAACGACCAATAGGCAGTTGTCATAGCATAATTTCCTTAAAAATGTTCGTATTTTTCATAACAATAACAGATCTTTCCACTAGTACATTTCAACGTGTTTGTACATACATACGTCTATCATCTATATATATCATATAATACGTATGTAATAAAAAATCACATAGTGATTTGTTGATAGACATTAATAATAGAGGCATATCGATGCATATTCATATAAAAGATAATCACATTACCAAGTCTGTTCAAAAGTTATCCCTTATAATTGCGATTTTCTCAATATTTCTCAGTAATTTAGGCTTTCTTTTTGATATTTTCCTCTCTAAAGTTACTTGGAAATTTTACTAAATTGGCAACATTAAACTAATTATACCAGAAAGATCTCTCATATCTAAGTAATAAGAAAATATTTATATTAATATATTTAAATTAAAAAATTAGGCTCTTTAGAAAAATATTTCGGAGAGAGCAGAATGGATGATTGATGAGGATTTAATTATAATCAAACAGATATATAACAGCTATATGCTATTTATTCTCACTATAAAAAAACACGGATATATTTTACACAATTATGCTTATATATGTCATAATCCAGCGTTACGAAACGATAACAGATCTATGTTGAAAATGTGTGGTCAATTATGATTAAAAACAAAGTAAAAACATAAGCAATTGTAAATTAATCTTAAGTGTAATGGTGTTAAAAATTATTCGAAGAATGATATATAATAAGCTTTTTCCTGAATAAATATTTGGATAAAATCAGAGACCCCATTTATATATGTATCGGTATACTATAAATTAATTAAAACGTGTAGATAAACAAAATTTATCTTTGAGTTTAGCTCTTTGTCAAATATTAATTTGAAATCTAATACATATTCTCTTTTACCTTTCTCTCTCTTTTTTTCTCTTAATATGTATACATCAATACAGACTTTTATACATATTGTACATATGTGTAAAATTATAAATATCTATATTAATTAGTATGCCTATCTTTGTACATTTGTGTAAATAACAACGGTAAATATATCGAATGTATCACTCTTATACAAGAATATTATTAAAGCAGTCTTCAGCAATTATATAACTACATAATAATAATATAATTGGAATTTACAAATATATATATAATAAAACAAATCTTCTAAAAAAGAAGTGAAAAGAAAGCATAACAAAAAAGAAGAAAAAGAAGAGAGACCAGCAACACAACAATAACATGATCAAAATAACAAAAATTTCGTGAAACGCTTATGCTACCATATATTGCCATTCTTTGAAGTATTTTCAACCGTGTATACACATATATACTCTACATTAGTCTATAGAGTTTATCTTCTGTGGAGTTAATCATTACTCAAAAATTTGAGTTGTGCATGTCTAAAATCACACACACACACTGTACATTTTTTGTACACTATTTTGTACTTTTTTTTTTAAATAGGAATAAGAATACGTGTATGTGTGTGTGCGCCACGAAGCTACTGCTCGTAAATAGACTTCTGTAACGGAACATCTCGCTCTATATAAATCGTGTAAAACTATACAAATATATTATAATACGATTTGCGCAAGATTTACCAAAATATACTGTTGCGATGGTGATAATATAATTCGATATTTTCAACAATGGAAAATGTAAAAAATATGCTCTTTAGGATCCTCGCTCTTTCTCTCTCGTGATTACATTCCACGATATAATCACGTTTATGATGCATACATGTATGCTCGATTACAACGGTATATTACTCTTACATTTTTGAAGAAAAGAAGATTTATTATGTATTTTCTTAGCAAATTTATGATTCCTGATTCTGTTATTACTCTGTATTTATAATTGCTAGAGACTAGTTTAACGATACTCTTGTACAAGAGTAGTGTGCTTCACCGTAATTCTCCAATCGGCGCATTTTGAGACCACAATTCGTCTATAAATCTATATAAAGTATCACTAACAGCTACCTGTAACAGACATTAAGAAAAAAAACATATTTATATAATCTATCGCATATTTTCGAGATTTTCATGAACAATGCTGCTATCTACTTTAAAAATATCTGAACTAAATATTTCAAAATATTAGGCATTTTAGAAGAACTGTCAAATTTATTACTCCAAACAACTTCAAATAAAAAAATCTATACTTGATTATATCAATCCTTAGTAACTTTCAAAGTACTAAAATTTTACCTTATATGGTGTTGGATTCAAGTTTCTTTTATGATCGTTACGCAATGTATTGAGAGATTCTTGCACTCTATTGCGAACCTCTTGCAAAGTAGGTAATGGTTGATACAATTTGCCGTCTTTCCAATATATCTGTAAGATGTTTTTATTTATTAATTATAAATCATAAATATTATTAACGTCAATAATATCAATAATAATATGTATAAAACCACTTATAAAATAACTGATAAATAACTACAATTATATTGAAAACTTATTATTTTAATTAGATAATATCTACCTTATGCAGAGACTCCACTCGGGATGGTGTAACATTAGCTCTTTTTGTTTGCTGAAACGGATGTCTACAGAGAACCTTCTGCATTACTTGCGGTGGATCTTCCGTTGTTATTTGTAAAAGATCTATCAATGCGTAGCCATCCGACCCGTACAATCTATAAGCATCTTTTCTGCCTGGTATTGTGACTTTTCCAACTTCTTGACTCAGCTTGATTCTCGGCTCATTATTAATTTCTACCATTTTGTAAACACATCCCAGAGCCGGTTGTCTTTGGCATGTTACGAGATGTGTTCCAATTCCGAAACAATCAATTTTGTGGCTCTGGAAAATATTAATTTTTTTTAAATTATACATTTTTTACATTCGCGATTTGTAAATTTTTACCTGCTCGTTCAAACTTATTATAGTCTCCTCGTTGATATCGTTAGACGCGCAAATCATCAATTTTGCAAACCATGGTATGTCGTACTTGATGGCAATTTTCTCGAAAATATCTCTCGCCACGTTACTAAGATACGCTAAATCACCACTGTCAATCCTGATACCGATAGCTTTGTATCCCAAATCGTTCAAAGCTAACGCTACCGCGCAGAAGTTTAACAGACCGCTCCTATTCGTAAAATATATATCTATAAGATATTTAAGTAACTAACAAATATACTCTACTTTAGTTTATCTATCAATTACAACTAAATTAATTAATTGAAAAGCAATCTAATCACACACTTTTTATGCTATTATAATTTGGTAAAAATTATATAAAATAAAGCCTAAACTTGGCAATGTATTTTGTGTGAAAATAAATTCTTTTTTGTATTTCTGTTTCAATTTAGATTAAAAAATGAATTTCTGTCACATTATATATAGTTCTATATTTTTTGCAACATCAAATCTATTTCTTTAGTTGCCAAGTTTAGAATTAAGAAACATTGCGCATAATAGATTAAGCACACAATAAAATAACTACAACTAACATAAACTTGCGCATTCGCTGTTAATTAGTACAGTGTAACATAAGAGAGTAACAAGTATTTCAACCAATTATTGCAGTCATTAATTTACATTTCCAATAAAAAACGTATATGATATTCTAGCAAATATAGAAATATATAGCCAATTGATATATCGATGATATAAACATATCACGATAAACGTAACATTTTATTTACAAATTTATTTTTTCATTTTTTTTACAATATATTTCCTTTTGTATAATATTTTAATAATGTGGCAGTTTTATATATTAAACTTGTGACAAAAATTTGCGACGAAATTGCATATTTAAATAACAAAATATATAAAATATTTGTGTAATATATAAAATGTGCCCATGTCAATTTTCGAAAAAATTAAGGGGCAGAATTGGGAGGGGCACTATATAAGATCACAAATATATAGTGGCTAACAACTAAATTCTAATGAAAAATAAGATTTTGGTTATTTTATCTCTAATTGGCACGTCATAGGAGTAGCATGATATGATAATTTGCAATTTGCCCGTTTTACAGAATATTTGCAACCTTTTCTAAGTGAAAGGTAGGTAGTAGTAAGAGGAGAGTAAATTAAATGAATATATTATCAGCTACTAAAATTCAAAGAAGCTTCAAATTGCTGAGTTCTAGAAATATATCAAAATAACTTTCTATGTATTCCATTAAATGCGATCTCAATCATTATAATATTACTTATGAAGGGATAGGCTTTGGTGGCGCAAAAAAATTAAAATATAATTCGCAAAGCATAGATTTGACGAGAAAAAGGGGGGAAAAAAAGAATCGCATTCCGCAAAACAGGCAAACAGAACGATATCGTACCTCATATAGAGCTCACCCAATTCGCCTCGTCTTAAAAAGCCATTCTTGTGAAGTTGCGAAGTTGGTTCTGATTTAAATGGGTTGTTTCTCACACCGTTTTGAGCGTGTGTATTGGACCCATTAGTTAGAAGTTTATTCTTTACATTTAGGCTGGCCACTTGTGCCTGCCCCTTGGCCGATGTCTCAATGCTACAAACACACTCCTGTTAGGTCACAGTGTGTATACGCATGTGTCGTGCCTGTTCGCGACGCGCTGATAAAACTAAATTATGGGATCGCTAATGACATCGAATTAAGAATATACTTCTGTCTCATTAAAATATGGATTTAATTACGCTAATTATTTTCTATTTCTGTAGGTTGAAGATGA